AATCGTGACCAATATATAAGGCCGAAGCCTGCGCCAGAAAAGCAGTATTACAAGTTCGTCTCATCCACAGCTTACTGTACCGTCTTCTGCATACTTGTCGCAATCTAAAGAGCTTGTCTTCCACGATGGTCTGTTCAATGTTGCTGCTGAAAAATCTCAATTCTTTCGTGAGGGCATTGGCTAATTTCCTGTAGGCAGTCCTCCAAAGCCTACCAAACCAAATTCTCATGCTCGTTGCCACTCAGCTAAACCTTCGTGACATGGTCTCCTTGGGAAAATCATGTTGGAATCTTTACTGCAGATTGCAGCCCAGCATCCTCAAGTACAACATTCAACACCAGAACAGCAATCTCCTGCACCTGGCAGCCAGAGACAACGACTATGCTCGGGCCGAGCTCATGCTTCTTTATGGTGCCAATGCCAACACCTTCCTGCGTGGAAAGACTCCGTTAATGAGAGCTATTCAACATGGATCGATAGACGTTCTCGAACTTCTCCTCAGTCATCAGAAGATTGATCTTCGGATACAAAATCGAGAGGGAGAAAGTGCCTTGACCTACGCCGTCAAATACGGAACCTGTCCAGGCAAGGGAAGGTTGGTCAAGCCCCAGCTTGATATCACAATCCGAGATGAACACGACCGAACTGCGCCTCCTGTGGCCACTTGCACAGGTCACATTGGATTTCTTCCGTGGCTATGGATTCCGTTCAATGATTTGAGAGTAAAGCGCGGTCGAGGCTATCGACTTAAAGACTGGGTTCGACGGGCCAAGTCTCAACGTTGATGGAACTTGGTCGTTTTTAATAAACTGTGAACGCCAACGTTTTGAAGGCTACCATTGCACTGGTGAGATTATCTATACTATGTCATGAAGAGATCTGCAGCCTATTTAAAGCACTCATAAGAGTCAGATTACATCCAGCAACAAATCGAACACCATGAGCTCTTCGAAACGTCGTTTGTCTTCCCCTAATGACCAGTCCTCCAAAAGACAACAGGTACACCGAGAGGCTGACGGTGAGCCGCCGGAACAAATTCACGATCAGGCACCCGAGAGAATTATTTCGGCTGGTAGGAAAAAGGTCAAATAGCCTTCCCCTTATTATATGACAATGCTGATTGATTTAGGCTCCCGCTACTTCAGCAAGCCTCACCACGGAGTTTGAATACATATTGCGTCATCATAGCTCCCTCGCAGCTCCCATCGTCGGCCTTCTTGACTTGTATCTCTGCTTGTGGAAATACTACGTTGTCGATTCTGCATTGAAGATACGACTTAAGGAAGAGCAACGTCTTCTCCAGAGGTCAATTAAGTGGCTAACCACCGAATGTGATGTACTACGCCAGTGCTGCAACGATCAGGCTCTGGAGCTGTTTGGCCGCAGGCAAGCTGTGGCTGCCTTAAATGATAGGATTGTCGAGGTTTTGAAGGCGAGCGAGAAACGTGCCTTCAGTGTGATTGAGTTGAAATAGTGTCTCCATAGCACGATAAAAGGAGAATACAAGAAGAGCTTGCTGTTGGTTTCCGTGTCCATTATGTGTGTGAATCTCATTCTCTGTGAAACATCCCTCGCTTTTGCAGTGGCCAACATCAGCCTAACTTCTGTGTGTGAGTGTCTCACCAAGTCAATATATAGGCTCTGAAATGTTCCTCCCAGGTCGTACAATCAGCTTCTGTTCCATTCCTACTAAGTCCTTTCGGTTTTCGATATAAATCTAATTCAATATTGCAAAAGTTTGCTTATTCCATTTAAACTCAACCCGTAAACGGAGACCTATGTTGGGAAATGTGACTCTTTTTCCACTACCACTATCCATAGTCAGACTCTTCCCCTCGGAACATTTTGCTGCTGATCAAATCTTAATCACACTTTAATGTGCAATAATTGATTTCAGCCACAGGCGATTTCTTCAACAACAATCGCATAGCCGAGGCTTCTCTAAACCCTTGCTGATACAGTCGGTTTATTCATTAGTTATATCATTTACGGTGACCCCTCGCAATAAAACGCTACTGTAGAGATTTCAAAAGTAGAAGGGTCTATTATAGTTTTATCATTATCTTGAAATTCCCAAAATATCTCCTATAGGACGATGATCGTTCCACTGCCGCCATGTTCCTTTCACTCCGCATCATCATTCACTGTACTCTGAGCTAGGACCCCCTCGGAGTACCGGTCCCAATCCTTAAGAATATCAGACAGTCGAATCCGAGATAACTCCAGTGCCTAGTCAAAGAATTGCAACCGAGCAATTTAATCATCGTGATGCGACTGCATTTTGTTCCTCTCGTCGGTCATATATCGGTGAGTCTCTCGTAGACCGTGATTCGCTTTAGCCAACTTGCTTCCCTCTATATGCTTCGATGTGCACGACTCCCATAAGCGCCGATACAGTCCGACGATTCTCGCGGCTTAGAACGCAAGTTTAGGGTCTTCGCGTTCGAGCCGCGCGAGAGCTTCCATAGCAGGCTCAAACAGCTGATCCATCAAGGGAGGTCTCTGTAGATCCTCGGGCTGTCCAACGGTGGTCAGCTCAATCATCAAAATAGTCGTGCTTTCCCTACTCACAGCAGGTGGGTCAGAGGGTGGATCGACCGTAGTCTGCGGGTTGTCTTGATTCTCGGGGGCAGGTTTACCGGTCGGAGGATAGTCATTTGCGAGCTGATCCTCCGGATAGTCTTCGACAGGTCGGGCATGGGAAGCGTCCATGTTGGGCCTCGCTTGATCATGGAAGATGCTTTAGATGCTTCGCGACGTTGCACGAGAATTTATATATTTTCGATGTACGTTTCAGTGAACTGAAATAGAAATTGCACCAAAATGACGGCACATGCAATTAAGAGTATTAGTAGGGTGGTCAAACGTTGATAGTCTAAATCAACGGACTAATTCCCTGGCGAAATGATCACCTTCCCCGCTCATGCCCACGCAACTGCGCATGAATGAGGCCAGTTGAATCAGATTCTGTACACAGTTCGAGGATTTAGGAAACTGGTTCTACTTGCAACATCTGCACGTCCCGTACAGTATAGCACTCGCCAGTTGCTACTCCATCCTAGCTATGTCCAGTACCCTATCTTGCGGACTTACCTTTCACCTATATCTCCCTGTTCGGGCCCTGATGTTCGTGTCCGCAGAGATTGTTGAATCTGCCCATCAGCCGTATGCATTCACAGGATAAGACAGCAACCCCATCAGCGGAGGAGGATGGTGGAAAATACCACAGCGGTAAGTTCTATGGCCTCCTCGTGGTTATTCAATGACTCGCTAAACAAGCCATGCAGAGTGGAACATTTTCTGTCCTCCGCAAGGCTCCTGTCAATGGCCTAGCCTCCAAGCCGATTACAGCCAAGTCCCAGTAGACTGGGATTTCCAAAGCACTACCTGGCCCGATAGGGAATGTGTCATATCTGCTCCTACACAGCAAGATCAACTTCATAATATGGACTGGTTCAAAGATGGGTCCGTCCTCGAGTCGGAGGTCGAGGTTTTCACGAGGAATCCCACTATCGAGCCATACAGCGTGATCAAGCCAAATATGAGCGACAAACCGCCCGACGGTGGTTGGAGGACGACGTCCTGGCAAGACTTTGAAGAATTCACACGCCTCGTCTGTGGCAACCAAGGACACTCCAGCCACACCCTCAACAGCATACCATGGCAGCTTCCGCGGCGGCAATTCAAATGCAGCGTTGCGAAGTGCAGCAGTCGCTTTCGATATTTCAAAGGCCTGCAGCGTCATTTGTCCGGCCACTTGGCTGAGGAGTCATATGTCTGCTGGGTTCCGGAGTGCCAGCGCAGCTTCACGCGTCGCGATAACCTCAAATCCCACTATGCCACCCATGGAAGACAAGGAGGCCGCAATCGCTACGTGGCTAGCCTTGATCCAACTAGCTCTATATACGACCCTTGTTTCCGCGGACAGTTGACGTCCGATGGCTTGCCGGTCAGAGAGGCCAACATAGGCTTGCCCGATATTTGAACTGGGTTTGCCTCCAGGAGCGAACGGCTGAGAGCAGGGGGTATGAACAATGACGGACGCTAGAGGTGATCGGCGGAAGTGCGGAAACACGGCGACGCGACACGAGTTTCTACTTGGGCGAACCTGGTTTTTGCTGTCATATTTGAGCAATAAATAACACGACACGGAAGTGAAGGCTGAATTGAACACCGAATGGCCAGACCCATGAGAGAGAACTGATCGAACACAAAAAATCTAAATATCGCTCGGAAATGACGACGCGCGGAGGATTCGAACGCGCGACCCCAGTGGAGAAGGTAACCACTAGGCCAAAAAATACATTTGTTAATAAATGCCTTGTTGCTAAGTTCAAGTTGTTTCGGTAAGGATCGACCACCCGACGATCTCATAAGATCCGGATGGATTTTTATTCTTCTTCGGTCTCAATTGGGATTATTCAGGCCAAGGAAAGTTGTTCAAAAGGCAAAAGCTTTTTAAAGCACGCAGTCTTGCTAAATGGCTGTGCGCCTGTGGCCATTTCTACGTGTTGGTCTTGGCTATAATATACGTTCGAATCAAAAGGACAAGATATATATTTTGTACAATCAGGTCTAGAAAGCATTATAGTATTATGTACCCTTGAATCTGCATACACTATTCCCAACACACGGCAAAGAAACATGCGAGCCATTCAAAATCAAGAAATAAGATCAAACAAGTCGCCGTCCAAAAATGTAACGGATCCCATCGGATCTGGTGAAATGTCTGTTGTGGTTCCTAATGTCAGAAATCGCGACCGCAAATTAACACCAATCGGTTCTAATTGGCAAAGCCGCAATTGGTATCACCCATGTTTATTTGCGAAGTGAGCTGCCAAATATTCCAGTCTACCGCCTAATAGTCGCAGCACAGAAATGTACTTTTGATGTTGCCAGTGCGGTCGTTCAGTCAACAGGTGCTGCGGTGAACAAAATGCCTCGTTGGAGGATCGTTTGCAACCATCATCAATCAGCGAATTGACCGTCACCGTTGAATTATGCGTGTGGGATACAATGTTAGGGGCAGGTGGGGTCTTATTTGCGGCGCCAGGGATGAGCCTGGTTCACCGCCTGGTGATTCACAGTTTCAACGTTTCACCACTTCCGTTTATCAACGCAGCGTCAACACCATCCTCACCATCCTCACCGTCAACACCATCCTCACCGTCAACACCATCCTCACCGTCAACACCATCCTCACCGTCAACACCATCCTCACCGTCAACACCATCCTCACCGTCAACACCATCCTCACCGTCAACACCATCCTCACCGTCAACACCATCCTCACCGTCAACACCATCCTCACCGTCAACACCATCCTCACCGTCAACACCATCCTCACCGTCAACACCATCCTCACCGTCAACACCATCCTCACCGTCAACACCATCCTCACCGTCAACACCATCCTCACCGTCAACACCATCCTCACCGTCAACACCATCCTCACCGTCAACACCATCCTCACCGTCAACACCATCCTCACCGTCAACACCATCCTCACCGTCAACACCATCCTCACCGTCAACACCATCCTCACCGTCAACACCATCCTCACCGTCAACACCATCCTCACCGTCAACACCATCCTCACCGTCAACACCGTCCTCACCATCCTCACCATCCTCACCGTCTACACCGTCTACACCGTCAACACCGTCAACACCGTCAACACCGGCTACATCGTCAACACCGTCAACAAGCATCTCAATATCCGTGAATTACATGGGGGACACTGGCGTGAACAGACGATTGCTTCTAATACTGACGTCTCGCCTGTGATACAATTGTCTCTATTCGCTAAGACAACACTGTATGTATGCTCGTGCTTCTCGTGCGATTTAAGGATTTCCACGTAGTGTCCTCCTTAAATTGGAATTTCAGTGATGGAGCTTACAAGATCTATCTCTACATTAGGACAAGTCAGAATCGAGAATTTGTCTTCATTGCAATGCTATCGATTTCCCCCGTGGTTCGGGCTACATGGTCCGGGCTACATAATGTACCCAGAGATGAGTCGTGCAGGTCTTGGCTTCTTCAAGGGCCGCAGAAACACTTGAATACTGGTCCCTAGCACCACGGAGAGGTGCCTGCATGTCGCTAGAGGATCATGGTGTAGACCCTGGCCCCAGGTCCTACCCGATCGAGCACACTTTTACAAAGACAGGGCTCATGGTCTGTGAGGGAGGATGTTGGTAAAGCAGGCCTCAAGCTGCGAGGATTTTGTTATCACAGTTCCTATCTGCGGAGTTCACTTGTTATCGCAGCGCCCCCCTGTGGAGTTCACTTCGTGACGCAGCGCCCCCCTGCGGAAGTCCTTGGTTGCGCAGCTTTTCCCCTGCGGAGGTCCTTGGTTGCGCAGCGCTCCCCTGCGAAGTCCCTTGGTTGCGCAGCTCTTCCCTGCGGAGGTCCTTGGTTGCGCAGCTTTTCCCCTGCGGAGGTCCTTGGTTGCGCAGCGCTCCCCTGCGAAGTCCCTTGGTTGCGCAGCTCTTCCCTGCGAAGTCCCTTGGTTGCGCAGCTCTTCCCTGCGGAGGTCCTTGTTTGCGCAGCGCTCCCCTACGAAGTCCCTTGGTTGCGCAGCTCTTCCCTGCGGAGGTCCTTGTTTACGCAGCGCTCCCCTGCGGAGTCCCTTGGTTGCGCAGCTCTTCCCTGCGGAGACTCTTGATTTCGCAGATGTCCCTGCGGAGACTCTTGGTTTCGCAGACGTCCCTGCGGAGACTCTTGGTTTCGCAGACGTCCCTGCGGATTACCCTGATAACGCAGAGCGTGTCCTCCGAAAGGACGTATCCCCCACTTCACTAGGCTCATGACAGTGAATGCTAAGACCAAAAAGATTTGAACTCTGCGGGCAGACAAGACCGTGCCGTCTCGGAGGATAAGGATAGAAGTCCCGACTTTCTAGACCGGTCGTGGAGCGTCCTTTTATGTCTTTTCGCCTCCGGCTGCCCATATCTGCCAGCTATACAGATTTTATGAGAGAGATAATAGACTATACTGTAATTCCGCAGAAAATATTTCATTTTTTGCGGCCAGTTAAGGTGATTCAACATCCGTTGAAGTATACGATCTAGAATTTGCGGCTAATCTCGCTAAGCGCCCCACTTCGAACCGTAGCGTGCATAAATCTAGACGGGGCCACCTATAGAACCATATCTTAGCGGTTGCATCTTATATTCAAGATGTTTACGGTGAACCACCTTCAACGGTCGTTGAAAAGCGCGTTCAACCGATCGTTGAGCAACATCGGTTGCGTTTGAACTGGCAAGAGGAAGATTCTCCCGGTTACGTGGCCAGCTTAGACAACTATATAGCTACTTACGCTCTAATTGTGAATTTAGGGTCCTCTCCTCTTCATAACTGTTAATAGTATATACTACTTTTCTTAGCGCATCTTACCTGACTGTCTGGCTTGCTAAAAGATCAAATTTTCAAACAGTCCACCAGAGCAGGTCATCTGTCCCTTCCACTACGGGCGCTAGGACAGAACGATGCCGAAGATAACGAGGCGACATCGAAGACGAGAATTACCAGGCGGCAAATGCGTCAAGAGGATATCGCAGCCTGACCAGGGCATAACTTTTGTATCAGACATCTCCGCTCGCCCGCGTACGTTCAAGACCGGAAACCACAAGGTAAGTACGGACACAGCTCCTACTTCAACCTAGACGCTCTCTAACTTGTATAGAATGCTTCGATGTCTCGCCCGGTCCCTGCAAGAAACCCGTATCCGGTGAGAACAAACTCGGATAATGCCAAATCCTTTCGACTGACTGGTTGACCAAGAGTTCTCTACGCACTATTCTATTGTCGGGATGCCAAAGGGCTAGGTTCCATTTTAGGCACAGCAAATCATTCCTCAACCAATACAGCGATTTCTCGAATATCATACGTTCTAGTATAGCGAGCGGTATTTCCCCAGAGCCATTGCAGCTGCACGAGCTGTATCATCCTGATAATCGACTCTGAAGCAGACAGCACGCGGGGTGTTCAGGTCTAGCTGCCAGTAATATTTAGGGCTGGCGACATTTCATACAGGCTGTCCGCTGCATAGTACTATAGGTCACCGTCTCGTATAAGACCAATAATCGCTTTAAAGATAATCCACACAGCCATTTATTTTGTTCAATGTATATGTCGTCCCTCTTGCACCAGAGTCTCCGGCGTCTTAGAAAAACTTCCGGGTCGTGCTTCCAGCGCCAACGCGAAAGTCTGTCATTTTTCGTCAACAAGGGAATTGTTTGGCCCTATCGAACGGAAAACGTGCCTAATTATTTGTTACTCCCCCCCTCCAATACGTTGTCAGCATCTGTCAAAAATATTCTTTAGATTCTTTTGCTTGCAGAATAACTTTCCCTGTGATGTACGACAATTTCTAGAAAAAATACTTAGCCATTTGGCTGAGGCGTGTCTCGAGGCTTGCAGTCACCTGGGACACATCTTGCAGTCAATTCACCTTTACGGTATTATTTGAAACGGGCTGTCTGTTGTCGCCACCCTACCATCTCACACAGGTAATTGAAGGTTCCCACAAAGGTCCCACCCGATTCTTAGACAGGCGAGGATTGCGTAGGCATGTTGCTGGGTGTCATAGGAGGGCGTCTTGTTAACATATAACACGAATGGCTGTCTCCATCACTATTGTATTGATAGCTAAACCTTGAGGTTAAACGTTTACGGTTATACTCAGGTGGTGAACGTCGAAGAACGTTAGTAATTCAACGCGGACGACCTAACGTTAACATTCCCACTATCCATAACCATACTAGTCCACTTATAACTCAAATCTCCACTTCGGTCAATCCAAGGAAATATAACAGTGGTAATAATACTTTTCGGAGAGAAATCCAGAACTTCTCCCCACATATTTTCATTCAGCGATTGAACTCTTGCCCCTAGAATTCCTCCTCGACGATTCATCACCCTTAACCTCATCGAATTCCGCTATCTCCCTTTCCCAAATTCTCTAATAGCGCAGCAAGACAAGAAAACCCCCGAATATTGTCCCAGCAAAGCCTTCACAGAATACAAAAAATAGTATAAGAGTTTGGAGGGAGGCTCCGGTTCCTCAGAACATACAAGCTCCTCGGAAAATACGAAGTCATCTCGTACAAAGCCGGTGGCTTTACCATCGGAACGCGCTCGCGCATTGCTTGAGAGCAGACGCTCTCGTAAGGTTCGATTCGAACTTATGCCAGGAGACAAACCAGCGGATCCTACGCAACAGCATTATGAGGAGCGATTACAACCAATACTAAAACAGTAAGTGCTCCCTCCCTCTGCCCTTTGTGCCTAATATTATCTCTTCTCAGGCCCTCTTTCGGCTTAAAGTTACATGTGTATTAAGCAGAATCAATCATTGATTTAGAAACTTGTCAATATGCCTTAGGAGCTTCACAACCAGAGATATAAGTTTAGCTAATCATAGCGCAGGTCGATAGAAAGGCAGGCCGCGGTGTGCGGACAACAACACATTCATCGCGAGGAAAACTCTCGAAGCATAAAGAAAGTCATCAGAGATATCGAAATTCTCCAGAAAGAGATGAAGCGCCTCCAGAAGGCACAGGCGTCGATGCGATCCCGACAGAGGGAAGGAGGCACTAACAAGCGAGAATAAGCTAGTGCTAGGGGTCGACTAACTGCGAGTTTCTTTGGCTGTGGAGAGGAGGTCAGCGCATTCCGGCGGTCGCGTTGCCCCGCAAGCGTCCCCAAATTGTGACGCGAGCCTAGGCATTGTCATCCATAAACCTTCAATCATATATCCGTACTTGAAATTGTCATCGTTTATTTTGTGAAGTTTATCTTGTCTGTCCACGACCAGTCTAGGACCCTTTAAGCTTTGTTAAGACAAGAGACAGGATCGGAGGAGCAATGGCCATAGCCAGCAAATTGAAGATATTGAAGATCCATAGGACAGGTCTGTTAACATAAACAGCCTTTCAATCCTTGATATTACAGTCCAACTTTCATGATATCGCGAGGAACTTTCTTTGTGCCCGATGACACCGGCGGCGACGGGCCAACCGGCTGGGTCGGCCGTGATATGGAGCCGTCTTCCGTGACCGGCAATATGCCTCCCAGGTTGCTGCTGAAGCACCTTACATTGAAGCAGACCATAGCTGGCTATCAACATTTAGGTGCCCTTGAAAATTAGTAATCAGCGTCACACCTCCGCGCCATGGTGAACAAGGAACAGCGCTCCATACTGCATCTCACCGGCTTAACCAGCTGCCCTATTGGGATATAATATCGGGCAAGGAACTACATAGCCTCGGTCTCAGCGACGAGGCCTGCCATCTACGGTCGGTTTTGTTTAGAAGGCGATGAAGAGCAGGTGGACGAGAGTGCGGTCCTGTAATATAACCAGTGCTGGGGATAAGTACAACTGAGCTGTGTGAAAGAATAGCTGGAGGAGCGCGATAGGGGATCTTACGTATCCTGCTGTGTCTGGTTAGTTCTAATTAGTCTCCCAGTGGATTTAAGTGCTCACACAATATAGCCGAAGGGACGAAGCTCTAGATGCCCTACTCCGCTCACAGAGAGCGAGGGCAAATCCTGACCCAGCACGTGAAGACACGCACGCAGCTCCAGTGGTGGAGCGTACGGATACCACTAATAGCAAGCGGTAGATGAGTTCAGGTCGTCTACCGGTGCATTCAGTGTCACCGTGCCGCAGACGAGCACTCCCTAGCACAAGATACAGTGACCTTCAGCTAGGTCGTCTAGCCGATAACAATAGTTCGTCTCGCCGGTTACTGCGTCTGAACCGAACGTAAACGCAAGGGTATTACCCCGACATAGGCGACTGCGGTTTAAACAGAATGTAGGAGGCGAGACTGTACATTGGATGCAAAGATACGGGATATCACATGCCCCTAGCACTTCTTAGATAAGTATTTACTCATATCCTCGAGAATTAAGACCCGTAACATACCCCAAAAATTACCCTCACCGTGTTCACCGTGGATGAGGAGTCTCGCGGGGGTAGGTATTCCACATTTGATCGCATCCAAGATAAGGTAACTACACCAAATCGAAGCAATCTCGGGCGCCTGCATATACATAGAGTGTTAGCATAGAACGTGCTAGGTTCCATAGCAATGATCATACCGCTTGTCTTCCGGTAACGTAGGGGTCGCCCGCGCTGTATGTTCCTGTCAGATCATCATATACTACAGAATGCAGAGCGAACCACTTTCCGAATAGTCTACTAGAAAGATTTTCCACACTCGCATACGACCATGGCGATAGTCAATCAGACGGCACTCCATAAAAAAGTCGATCTGCAATCATGGTACAATATGTCGATGTGTGCGACAGACCGGTAAAGAGGCACATTCGGTGTGTCCGACGAGCGAACTGCTGGCGGCAGCCACAGGGCACCACGTCGTTGGGGAGGGCTGTACCAAAGGGGTCAGCGTTGTTCCATAGATGATTAATGACCACTTACCTGCTTTCTCATAGAGAAGCGCCGTCTCAGTGTTCGCACAATTGCCATCATGAAGCACAGCATGGTAGTCCGGGCCGCTGGAGCCGAGTGTGCGAAATGCTTCCACCACATGACAGCAGAAGAACGGGGCGTTCGGGTCGGCGAGGTTGTTCGGAGACCAGGGCCAGTAGAACGACCGGTGGTGCGTACAAGCAAAGTCCAACCATCGGCAATGTATATTAAGCATATCCTTTCCCTTATCAAAGTATACGTCGACTTTCCGGTCGAGCCTTCGACGTAGGCAACCTGAATATGGTCGGTGAATTTCAGCAGAGCAAAGCAGGCTCGCAACGCTCGGTCGACTGCTCTCGCGAATATTATAGGCGGGAGGGTGCAGGGCTTTGCATCCTTAAACAGCTCTTACAGCTGCTCTTCGACGGTCCGGGTGGGGCAGTGGGCACGCAGCATATACCACACAGCCTGTCCGGCAGGCGTGCCTAGCGCTTGCCGAGGCTGTCCCGGATTGATTGTGTTCGTGGTCTATCTGCATCAGTTATCAAAATGCGACACAGTCTATACCCAAGCACATACCTAATCATTACATCTCTGGCATCTCTAGGCGCTATAGGGCTTCGAGTTTCGAAACAAATGAGCCGCATCACTGCTTAGTTACATCAGTCATTCTCCGAGCTCAGAAGTCCGGGAGGTGCCATAAAAGGTGCCACTACCTTGCCATCTCTTTCCAAAACGCGTCATCTCTAGCAGTATCGAGCCGATACTAGTCTTGCTAGAGCCGTCCAAAGAGGGAAAGATACATCTCTCCAGGTGGTTGTTGATTTCTGAGCCACATTGGTGCACCTTATTTCCTCATTAGGGAACATCCCGCTGCTCTCCATCACGTGACACATAAGTACAACCTCGATCCTGCCGAAGACAAGGTGATTCTGAGCTTCAAAATATGCACACCTATTTTATTGCCGAGCAGAAAATCGCGGAGAATTCTGTATTCAGTGATATCGATTTCACCCAAAAAATAGTTCAGGGTAGCTATAGGAAGCTATGAAGAGGAAGCCATAATAGTGCAAAAGCTAGGTATCCGGAGGGAAGCGAACACGGGGCGGACTCGAGAAACTTCTGATACTTATAGCCATATCACGTTAGATATATCGGAGGATATTCTGCAAAACAATCGTATTCATCGGCTTCGTCCCCTCCGAACTTCGTTCGATAGGCCGTCTAAATATACCTCATCGCATTCGCTCTCCGCGAGAACCTCCTTCAACCCGACACCCCAGCAGGCAGCGGTATGCTGCAACATCATAAAGCAAAATTTGCGGGTCCCTGTCATCGGTTTCGACTTTGGCAAAACGTGAGAAAGCCTAACCCCTTCCCGACCGCAAATAGCAGAACAAAAGAAGTCTGTGCTTGCCTTCGGATGCTTATTATCCAGGCAGATAAGTAGTCGTTGGCGCCTAGGAAGTATAGCGTAGAGGTGCAAACTTCGCTGTTATTTCGGAGGTTGCGTCGTCTCCACCGAGTTCCTGCGACATCTTCGTGTCCATCTCCATAGCTGCGTATAATTCTATAGTTCCCAATTCCATATCATCCATAGCTCGTTCGTTTTGACCACTTCTATCGAGCTCAGCATACTTCACTGGCTTTGATCTAGAGAATATCACTGTCCTGATCGTTGATAACGCGACGTGACGCCACGTGCTTCCGTCCACCTGCCATTTCAACGACCCCAGTTTCAGCCTTCTTGAACATCATGTCGCACAGCCATATATCTCACCCAGACAAGCAGCTCTGGGCGCGGTCAACCGGCGTTGCAGCTAATGCACAGCGATACGTCATCGACACAAGGGCCTTGACTGACCTAATCGGGCACATTTCCACGCTGCATATTAGCTCTTGAGCGATAATCTACTAAGAGGTCTGTCGTAGTTTCCCTAGGCGCCTTACCTGAATGCCAAGAAGAGTGAGCACTCAGAGGCAGGACCAAATCTCTTACTATACCGGACAGAGTTATAGAGGCAGGCTGCAAGGGCTCATTGTGCCTCCATCCTGCGGTCTATTCCTTCAACTGTCCTCGTAGTCACTTTTATAGATAAACTTAGGCCCCTGTAGACCGCTGACTATACTATCGATAAGACAAACGCCAGTGTATCATAATCTTGAAAGTCGGGAAAAGAGGGTAGCCTTCTGAGTCCGTCAGGCATACGTGCTGTAAAAGAATTCCTTATCTGCTAACTCGCGCAGCAAGTATTGCCAGATCCGAAGCGCCGCCGGTAGCTCTCAAAGAGGGCCTATCATCTCGGCGTCGGCGGAACGGGCGTGCCTCCGCAGGAGATCGACAAGTAGAGGCAAGATAGGTGTCTTCCTGCTTGCGTAGAGCTTCCTCCCATATCTGTTGTACTTAGCGAGCCGCATCCCGCTAGGATACCAGTCTGCCACAGTCGCGGCAGGTGGTCGAATAGGCGAACTTGTACGCGAAGAGGAATGCGCCACCCACGGTGGAATTAGTCAAGGTGATCCTATTGTGATATAGCTGACCTCGAAGCTAGGGATCAAGAATCAAGTCGCCGTGTGGTGTGGAAGTGATATCGGAAGGGTAGGTGAGTCCGCGGATATCCTTGTCGTCAAGCGGGGCCAATTCAAAACGTGTCTGGCGCGACTAGTCGGCCTGACTTGGCCCGCGTCGCGCTGATCACCGCTGCCACATCCCTCTCCATATAGGACCGAAGGTTTGCCATGTCTAGAGCAGGATCGGCCTACTGGATCGACTTGGTTTTCTGAGATGGCGCCACAGTACAAGAAATAGAAGTGCAGTCTGTATATATGTCAAATCTCTAATTGCAACCACTCGCGGCGATACTCACCTGAAAGCCATCTCGAGAGAGAACCAACGCCGCCGGCTTAAGACCCTCGCCGTGACACACCACAAGACCACAAGACGGTCGTGGGCGTCTTTAGTTGAGAATCCCATACTAAGGGCATTAATAGGGGGTCGCATGCAAGCATTTGCGATAGTGATTCGACCAGTCCTTTTTTCGTACCGGATAAAACCCAGGGCGCGTCGATTGTCACTTTCCGCTAGCCGATCGGCAAGGTTACGGTCGGGAACAATAATTGAAAGACCACCACTGTAGTCTTCCAAGACTGGCTGGAAGCTCTGACGGTCAAGCTTGAATCTTTCCATAAGGGCATCTTTCCTGCGTAAATCAGCGCTTATCCAGTGAAGGAGGCCCATACATACCAATTTTGATACAATTCTCGAAAAGCATTTGCTTGTGTCCAATCTTTCATATAGCGGGGAAAAATTCCGAAAAACCACGTACCGGGAGGATAGGCATATAACGAGGGGGGTTTTCTGACTTTCGAGTAGCTCACGTTCCAGCAGCTCGTTTGCCAGGACTATGATGCTATCATCCTCGCAAGCGTCGGCGCTGTAAAGGTGTGTCATTCTTGAAAATCAAGCTTACGGATCGGGTGTGAATTGGGATTGGGAAGAATGCCAACCGGGGTAGGATAACACTATTTATGTTGTGCCTTCCTTCCGTATTGAAATCATATATCTACTAGAAATGTTGAGCAACAGTGCTCTCTCCATCAAAAAGAGACAGTTTAAGGATAAGAAGCGCTTGGCTTACTAACTTGAGACTTGGATGTCAGGATTAACCAGCGAACGCTGTCGACTTGTCTGCTATGAAATTGATGCTCGACGTTGACGGTGGGTCTCGCCTGTTACAGGCGCTGCCGTAGGCATTAGTGACAGCGTTGAGCCAATACTTTCCTAGTGTCCAGTCAACAAAGAGTCAACATACTTGCAAGCTATTTAGATAGTATACTCTGTGACACCGCAATTGCTAGTGACTTGACCGAGCCTGCAGACATGCGTTCGCACAAGCGATTTCAGTCTAGGAGAGGAAAAATTGCTCAGCGGTTTATAGCATTGCATCCAAGTAGAGCGTTTCTGGCTCCGCTTAGTTTAACCTGCGTCCTGTCTATATACAAAGTTGATGGACTGACTTCCATTCTTCTCACTCAGCCTGAAGCACAACACAGACTATTTGCTAGGAATAGGTAGGGCTAACATAGATGCTGGGCCATGAACACCAAAAAAGATTCTCCAGCTTTTTTCAGCCGTTCCTAACCTGACATTGGCCCCAGGAACCCAATGATACTTCCAGGAGCATGGTGAATTGTCGCGAGGAACAATCCTGTTAGGCTGTAGGAGCGCAACGGCGGCCAGGATTCGTCACGCAGACTCCGGGAAGCCTCGCCTACCCCTGGGAACATCTAACTAGTCTATTCCCTCACTGTTACCACATTGAGGGTTGCTCCGTGGCAAATATGTTTTATAAATAATCTCCGACCTTTCACAGATTTAGCTTAGGTATGGAAAGGCGACCTGAATATTTATTACTCTTGAGGATTTCCTACCGAATAAGTTACAGCTGGTTACCAGCATGAATAGCTTGCTCTAAATTGGTACTGTATTGGCAGGTATTGTGGAATTTAATTCACCCAAGCTTCTTTGTTGTGTAGTTAGCACTGGTAAAATGTTGGAATTGAGGGCAATCAAAATATGTGGTATAGTCGGAAATCCCAACGCCGGGATGGCCACGTTGGCTAAAGCATGTGGAACCGCTCAACATCAACACATCAACACCATCAACACATCAACACCATCAACACATCAACACCATCAACACCATCAACACCATCAACACCATCAAGACCATCAACACCATCAACACCATCAACACCATCAACACCATCAACACCATCAACACCATCAACACCATCAACACCATCAACACCATCAACACCATCAACACCATCAACACCATCAACACCATCAACACCATCAACACCATCAACACCATCAACACCATCAACACCATCAACACCATCAACACCATCAACACCATCAACACCATCAACACCATCAACACCATCAACACCATCAACACCATCAACACCATCAACACCATCAACACCATCAACACCATCAACACCATCAACACGTCAACACCATCAACACCATCAACACGTCAACACCATCAACACGTCAACACCATCAACACGTCAACACCATCAACACGTCAACACCATCAACACGTCAACACCATCAACACGTCAACACCATCAACACGTCAACACCATCAACACTTCCACGCCATCAGTACCAGTATCAACACATGACCAATCTTTCCCCCTATTCATAATTGCGTGTGAAATAAATTAGACTGCAGTAGTCGGGTTTCTCACCTACTACTGTAAACGGAGGCTGTTGGCCCAATTCACTTGACACTTGACAAACAGGAAAAAAGTCATTCCTGCTGGCTACTTTATTATTCTGTTCACGTAGTCCGATGGATCAGAGCGGCAAATGGGATGATAATGGCTGTAAGCAATTGGAAAAGTAAAGTAGTGTACTCTGTATAGTTCAAATTAATATAGAGTAACTTCAGGCACTCGTCATTAAAACATATTGAGCATAGTAAAATTACGTGAATTGACCTAATTGGTGCGACCTAAAAGGATGCCGGAGCCCCAAGTACTTCATAGCAAATGCTGGTGGCATTATGCCATGCTTGGATGGTTGGACCTTGGGCTATTGCAAAAGACCGCCTCACTATCGGCATGAGACGGGAGTACCTCGTGTTATCTCCAAGAGCATGTTATCTCGTTGGGCTGTATTCTGGTTGAGCAAGACTAGATACATTACCACGTAGGCTTTATAATGAAATCCCCTGCTGAATAATATTTAAAGACTTTGAAATGCCTTGGATTTTTCTATCACCCAAAGCGTGCCTGAAGATTCAATCACTAACGCTGTTGATCGTATTAAATAAGCCGTCTTTGCTCACAGACCCAGTGCACATAGTTCCAGAGCTTGGAAAATGATCGATTCTCTCGTCCATCGCGACTCTGTGAATATAATTCATAAGCTGCAAAATAATAAGCTTTGAACCAAAGAAAAAGTGAAGGTCTTCTCATACCATATAACGATGCTTCGGCCGACGGCAGTTCTTGACTCTTAACGCCATCTAGCGCACCCTCAGGAATGTCATAGAGCCATCGTCTAACATTTCCGCAGCTGCTAGAATCACTGCTCGAAAGATTGCGTCGTGTGGTGGCTCTCAGACGTCGGGATTTTCCCCGGCTCTTTAAGGTTATCGCCCGCCGCGACGGTCTAACGCGACCAAGGCGACGTTTTCGTAGGATATAATATTTCTTCCCTCGTAAGGATTCAACCGACCGTTTCACCCCAACTTGTTCCAAATAGGCATCAGGGCGAGCGATCCATAGCAGTTCGCTGTTCTCCTTTAACCAGGGAAGAAGGTTATCTTCCTCCCGTTTAGACCATGGTGTTGCACTGCGCGAGTATATGGCGATAATCTTGATCGCGATGGTTGGAGGCTGGCTGGTTATGACAACAAATAGAGGCAGGTAGGTAGGCTTTGTTGAGCTTTAATCCACTCGTTTCGCATAAACTAATGCCCGCTGAGCAACGGAGCGCCGCACAATTAGGTAACCTATTCCGGCTGTTTGATTTAGGCCAACTAAATTGATTGACAAAACCCGTTTCAACGTTGATAACACAAGTAATTCTCATCGTTGCTAAAAGGGACTGGGGGACATACTTCACACGCCACGGAGGTGGAGAATGCAACGTTAAATATACTTTGAGGTCGAACTATGGGACTGAGAATAAATAATTTGTCATGTTGATAATTGAACATCTTAACGGTGAAACGAAGAGTTTCAAGTTGGTGCCATTCAACTTCATGCATACATGGCTCTGTGCCTGATGGACACAATCTGGTTACTATCTAATAGGACAAAGTGCACGTTGAGATTGTGGGACCATCAACGTTGACCTGAGAAAACTTCAGACGGTCTCAAACTGATCACAACATATAGTGCCGGAAATGGAAAGTTTGGAAAACCATAGGATTTTTGGCTACAACTCAATAGGCAAGAGTTGTGAATTAAAAGCAAAAAGGAAATACCGTAGCTCGATTTAAGAATCTATATAATAGCCCTCATCTGAACAACGTGAAACAAGAGCCACGCGACCTCTTCCCCGGTCCTAGACACCAACATAGGAGCAGTTCGAAAGTCTACGTATACCGCTCGACGGCCCGATTTTCGGAGACAACTACAACGTGCCCTAAGCCTGTCCTCTTTTGACACAGAGGATACTCATAGTATGTCAAAGTCATCCGCTGGTGACACTACCGAGGACCAGCTATCAATTCACTCGGAGAACGATAGATCTAGCGTACAAAGCGACAGTGTTAGACGTAACCACGAAGCCCAGATTGATCCTGCGTTGTTTTCGACTGCTCGAGATGTGGAAAAGATTGAAGGTAGGAGAGATCTTCCTAAGGATCGCGACCTGATTGCCTTGGAATGTGTTGCAGAGTGAGTATCACAGCTGTGACCTTTGAATTACTTGCGCTAAGATTGCATTTGGCAAAGGCTAGATGTCCGAATGAAGTAAGCCGATCTGGGGTGCATTACCTGAGGGAACTTGTGCGCTAAATTTAACATAGGAATGTGGAATCCTCCATGAATAACCAAGAAAGCCTGAATGAAGTGGTCCGCAGTGATTTGGCGAACATCCTCAGTCGATTAGCTATCATAGAGGAGAAAATCAGCAAGGCTAACCCAGACGAGAGGCAGGCTTCTTCGGAAAATCGCCAGACCGAGCGAAGACGGGTTTCGAGGCGATGAACGAGACCTGTTTCAGTCATCAGCCTTTTGCTGCTCCAGGGATTGACCTCAATAATGGTGACCTCGCTATTTTGTGATTATACGGACTATCATACTGTAGTGGGGAAACTGCTGACGGTGGTTTTGTAGCGTACTTGCTTCCGTCGTACGCACCGCTCCCGAATCTCCTATGGTGCTTACAGTTTGTCGGTTTTGCATCGTTTATTCCGTTTTGTTCTTGCCCGTTTTTTTGCAGACGTAGGAGAAGCTTCATGAAGACACACAGAGCAGAAGACAGAAGAGAAGAAGAAGATTATCGAACACACATCATACAGTCTTTACCAGAAATTCAATCGCTCCTTGCTTCAACCACGGTTCCATAATCCTTCATAGAGCTTGCTACTGCTCATTGATCTACTAGAGGGTAGTCGACTGGTTTATCTGCTGCCCTCCGGTGGGTGGTTGGTGCTTCCTATCCTTCCTGGCAGTTACTATCCTATCTCGTGCCTCGGCCTGTCTGTTCCAATCGGACTGCCATTAGCGCATCCCCCTCTTCAATACGTACATTTTGCTTCCAGACAAATTCGAAAACAGTTTCCCCCCAGACACATTGACTTTCCTTTCTTTCTCAGCGCCCCACTCGGATTGCGCTAGTCTAATATTGGCTAGACCAAGCCCCTTCCGTGAGGGATAACGCAGTATCATTAGCGGCAGGTGAGTCTAGAACCCGAACTAGACGCCCATGTAGGTCTTTGGGAGAGAAAGCGTCTGTCTCGGGGGGGGGTAAACTGTTTTCGAATTTGACTGCAAAAGACTAGTAAAAATCAACAATTTAAGTGAATTAACGTTCTGAGTATGGCATTCGCCGATAGCTAATCTAAAACAATATTGCGAACTCATGCACTGCATCTAGAATGCGAACCCTTGTAAAAAGGGTAAAGGATGGGGTATCCAGAGAACCGCGGGAAATGGAACGGGAGTGAGGAAACTGTATACCGTACCATAAAACTTTTATAGGATCGTAGATCCCGGTCGATCATGATTACTGTCGAAAGTTTGAAAGTATTTCGGGCACTTTGCCGGGCAGGGAAGGCTAGACTTTGCCTATGATTTCTGTCAGTGCCGACCCACATTGTGCATCGAACGCTCTAAGGAGAATCTGTGAACCTTAGCAACTCGGTGGGTCAGGCTCAATGGAGTTTTTGGAGTCGTTTAATACGAGGGCCAGACCGCGAACCTTGATCGGCGGAGGCGCGGAACATCCTCTGGGGAAGAATTTGTCAATGCGGAAGAGATCTAACCAAAGGTGAAAAAAGTACGGGCCTAGCGGACCCTTTAACGTTACTATACCAATTTCCCCCGTGCGGCCCGAAGGGCAGGCTTTTTCAAACGTGGGGCGGTCCCCACAACCAGAATGTTACGCGTCATGCATTGGCTCTACAAAGCATAGTTCTAGAAGGACTGTGGTCTACGTAGATTTCTGATATCAGAACATGTCGGCTTTCTACTAGATAAATCACATTCAACCGTTGGAAACTGTCTCAACGGCAACATACGATCGCATCACAATTTTAGCCATTCACCCTAAAGCAGGGGTGGTGTTTTAGTTTGTAGTTGTTGGCTCTTAGTGGGGCAGAATGGAATATTCGCCCAGTCCAGAAATTTCCGGTAGTGAAGTAGAAATCAGAGGCTCTGGTGCTCCTTAACTAGGCCACGCTCCATGCACCACTCCGGAGCCTAGCAAATAGGTAGCCAGCTATTGGTTTTGAATCGCTTCCACACTCCTCCAGAACTGCGTGGCAGCGGATACCAGGTCACCGTGTGCCTAATACAACACCGGCTGGATATCATTCCATACCACTTAGCCCTGCATAGTGGAATTGAAAGACTCAAGCTGCTGTTGCAACTGATTGATCTCCATTTGTAATTTTTTTGCTTCGCCCGAGACCTTCTCGTTCTCCGCCAGTACCTTTTTCAATTTGGCCATCTCTTCTGCCTTTTCTATTTAAAGCTGCTGAATTTTCTGGGTACTTTCAGTTCGCTCTCGGTCCTGGTCCTCCCAGGCCTTGCAAAGCTCCTTCTGAAAATTGCTCGCCTGCTTCAAGCATTGTCTGTGAATTGATCGACTGTCTTGGCTGTCGTCTTCTCGAGGTCTTTTGTGTGGGGATAACAACTTGTAGTCAAAGTTAACATAGGATCAAATATTGTGAAAAGGGCGAGCAAAAGGCTGTTTTTAATTGAAGGATTCAAGAAACCGAAGAAACCTACCTAATCCGTAGCTGAGCGCTTGACTGATCGCAGTACACGGTGTTCAGCGGTGTCAGAGGCAACCGATCGTCGCGAATAAGCTCTTGCTAATTCGCTAATTTTGCAGTCTGAGTTTGATCTTGAGCTACCATTCTCACTCTGCGTAGACTTAATATGGGGTCGCATCGTGGAATTTCAGCCTATAGACAATTGGAAGCTCGCGAGTAAGAGAAATAAAGACGATAGTCGCTCCCCTTAATAGGGAACTGATCGATTATATATAGGCGATCATGAACAAAATATAAAACAAGAGACGCCCCTAGCCAGAATTCAGGTCCTACAAATGCTGAATTAACATCAAAATGTTGCGCCTTGGTGCCATTGAGACAACTCACCGATGGCTAAGAAGACGTTAGTGCAGAAGCTAAATTGATGCTAGCTAAAGAGAAATGTGACCCGCCTGCAGAAACATACAACTTAGGGGAAAAGCATGCAAAATGCACACTACCATTCCGAACCTGATAGGGAAAATCGCTACACCTCACTTTTATTGTGGTCAAAATGACCTTACAATGTTAGCAAAATGACTCACTAAAATAATAAAGTCACAGCAAATAATTCCACTATAATGTATCTCTGTTTGAACCATCCGTAATGTAGAGCCTGGCGTTGAATTCACCTAAGTTCTTTATTTACAACAGGAACTGTTTCAGATCAATGCTACAACAACTTAAAGCTTAACACCCACAGGCCCATCTAGAGTATCTGCTAGATTTTGACCTTTGAATAGAGGTAAGATAATCAAAGGTATAAGGTTTCCTCTATGCATCTGGTCACAATGTGATGATCGAGGGACCTAGCGTAGCGATAGAAATGAGGAACCTCTCTTAATTTAGGAAATTCCACAACAGCAACTTGATTTATCACAAAGCGTATTACTAAGATTCGGTTCGTAAACCATTGAAATGCCGTAAAAGAAAATTTCCTTAATTAACGCGCTAAGTTCACGTTAAAGAGCATAACTATAGCAACGCCTACGTAGCCACAAACTAAAAGCCCCTGGCCCGGGGTAAAAAGCTAGCTCACTCTATTTTGGCTAGTAAGAAGTAGATTTTACCGTAAGTTATTTTGCAGAGGTTGCGCGCTGCCTGGGTCTTGCTGGCTGTAAAGGACCAGAGTAGGTCAAAATGCAATAGCCTTCGTTCTAGAAGTTTCCTTCTAGATAACGGCACCTCAAAGCCTAAAACTGTCAATAGGAACCAAATTGACTTACCCCTAGGCCATGTAATCTTTTTCAGTTATGAGATTTCCTTAGACAGAATAATTTGTTTCGGAGAGTCTGGGACAGCCATAACCAGGGTACGAGTTACCCGCCTTAAGGCCGGAATAAGCAAGAGCCGTGCGTGCTTGACTTCTCAGGACCCACCGGCATCAACTAAGACGTACAATTCCAAATTCAAAGCCGTTAATTCATGGGAAATGTGACTTAAAACAGCGCGTTCCATGGATCAGCTGTAGGGATTCGTACATACATTATTTGTCCATTCCATTGTTGACTTCTAGGTTGTTGGAACAGGGGCATTTCCGCCCACAAAAGTGCGAACACGATCATTGACAAATATAATTCCAATGTTTGCTCGCCCGTGGATCTCCAGTAAAATAACTTTTGTGGCTTTACTCGGGCAATTCCTTATCAGGGTCATCTAGTCCTATTTCTCCAAACCAGAAAACCCCTTAGACTCGAAGGAGTTTTCACAAGTACTGATTCGCGGAGATTCGATAGGATACGGAGTAAAATTATTCGTACTTATCCTCATTCATCTTGTTTGTAAAGTAAATCACGCGAACGGAGTACGGTACATCATGACTTTTGAAGGTGAACTCCCTAGGATTTTCTACAAAATGAATTCCATTCTTGTCTGATTATATCACACAAGCCAGTATAATAATAATCAGGCCCTAACATAATATTTCATTTAATCTCGTTTGTCTCAATTCACAGCTTCACAGCGCTCGTCTTTTTATCCCGGTCCTACACTGCCATAGACACAATCATTACCAGCTTGCCGCCCAACGTAGGAGCCATCCTCATCGAGAACATCTCCATCATTCAAATCATATCCATGTTTTCTATTGGTGCCTACAACGCCCTAGAGACAGGAATTGCCGTGTTCGACTCGTTCAAACACTACCGCGGGCTATATTTCTGGAGTATGCAGGTAGCATCCTGGGGCATACTGGTCCATACGATCCCAGCTATGATACGATTTCTATCTCAGTCATCCAACCTGGCCATATCAATTCCATTCATTTTGGGGTGGTATGCCATAGTAACTGGACAAGCCGTGGTGCTCTATTCCCGCCTGAATGTGCTCGCGACTGACCCCGTGAAGCTCCGCTGGGTGCTGTAGATGATTGTTAAAAATTTTTTCGTACTGCATATTCCGATGACGGTACTCTTCTACGGTCTGAATAGTGGTCAAAGCGTATTCGCTCGACCGGCGGCTATCTATGATCGGATCTAGGTGACCGGATTCTGTATGCAGGAATTCGTTCTCTCCGGGGTCTATATTTATTAAGCACTAGAACAAAGGAGAATTAAGCGAGACCTACATCACTAAGGCGACCGGAAAATCATTCGTTATTTACTGTGGATCAATATTCTTGTTGTTCTGATGAATATACTGCTACTCGTGGCGGAGTACAAGCTTTATTATATAGAAGTCAGCCTCAAAACCGTGGTTTATAGTATCAAGTTAAAGCTGGAATTCACG